GACCGCTGGGAACAGTGTTCCGAGGCAGGAAACACTCTGGGCGCTGGGTCTGAGCACGGTTCACTGTTCCCAGCTGTGGCCTCTTCCCCAGGGCCGCACGTTCCCAGCAGCTGCTGGTAACTCAGGCTGACCCGTCTGTCAGAATCACCGGGACCCCAGCACTCGGCCTCCGCATGGCACCTGGTTCAACTGGGGGACAGGGGGCTGAGGCGGGCATCTGCATTTTTAAGGGCCCTGGCGATCCCGGCAGGCGGCGAGGATGAGACCACAATCCACGACCTCTCGGGAAAGTGGACAGACGGACACCATGGGAAGGATGAGCCGGCCACTGGGGCAGACACCCGCAAGTGGGTGAGAAGAGAGTCCGAAGCCCGAAAGGAGCGCGGACTCTGAGGAAAAGGCGGAAAAGGCAGAAGGAGACGCACCAGAGGGGGGGCGCGCTGAGGTGTAAGAGGCCGTGGAAAGCTGGTGGCTGGCTGGAGCTGCAGGGATGGAGCCGGAGCCGGGACTCACCAGCTCAGTCCCCAGACTCCAGACAGCTGGGCTGCTCTGAACCCCCGGCGGGGCCTGGCCGTTCAGAGCAGGCTCCAGGGGAGGGTCTGAGAAGCGCAGCGTGGGTTGGGGTGGGGCACCGCAAAGGAGAGGAGCCCAGGAAACGCGGACCACTCAATTCCATGTTATTCGGGAAAGCAGTCCGCGGGAAGCTTGTGGATGGGCCCAGGGCAGAGGCCAGAGCGAGCCGTGAGGCTCAGGGAAGAGGGACAGGCTGAGGTGCGGCCAGAGAGCAGAGGGAGAGAACCACAGACTCCCCACATCTCTGAACAGGGACCTTGGCTGCCGGAAGGGGACATACCAACGCCTCCAAGTCCTGGGGAGACAATGCTACACCCAGCCAGGAAACGCTCGACACACGCCAAATCCAGAAAACTACTCCTGAGCCCCCATAGAGGCCGCCCCCCGTGACTCCTCCCTCTCGCCCACAGCAGCCCTGCAGTTTCACTGACATGTCAAGCCAGCTGGACCCACCAGCAGAAGCGAGCGGTGGGTGCCGCTTCCTGGGAGCCCCCCCAGCCTTCCACATGCCGCCCACCACCCAAATGGGGCCACCCCAGGGATGGCAGACTGGGCAGAGGGAGCCTGGGTCGCCAACACCAGCGAGCTTCCCGAGGAGCCCTAGACATCTTACAGCTTCGTCATCCCACAGGGCGCAGCTGTTGTCTGTCTGGTGGAAGCCACTGTGTGGGGCCTTCCGCACAGCCGCTGAGCCTTTCATCCGGCTGACATACGCCTTCCTAGGAAGCCACCAGAAAACAAACTCTGTGAGGATGACCAGCACAGGGCAGTGCAGGGAACGAGCAGTCCGGCTCGCAGGGGGCGGAGGGCGGCCCTCTCCAAGGAAATGCATCCCGCACGGCTGTCCGGCAGGTGTAACTGCACTGAGAGGCATTCCACAGGGGACCGGGGGCTGGGTGTTCGGAGTGGGTGGGAGACGCGGCGATGAGACGAGTCTGCGGCCGGCCCACCAAGTGACCCCCAGAGAGACAGAGCCACAAGCCAGGAGCACAGCCAGAGCCGTGGCCCTGACGAAGTGAGGATGGAGCAGCTGCATTTTGGCAAAAGCCATTTTGGACCCTCCCGTAGGATACCTTGGTTTAAACTAGTTAATAAGGTTTGTTAAAGTGCCAAAGAAACATCTAAGGCCACCAGAGGTTCAGAAGTGAAGAATTCACGGTGGAGACACTTCCTCCAGCCTGCCCTGAGTGATGCTGGGTGACCCCCAGGGAGCCCCCCTGCCATCGTCGTGTGCGGGCCATGCTGAGCAGCGACTCCCCTTCCAGCCCGCGTGGGAGAGCCGACAGAGCACCAGGCAGGGAGCGTCCCAGAGGAAGAAAGCAGCAGTGATCGTCTCTGGAACCAACGGAAGACGAGAACAAGACCTTGAAGAAGACGAATCAAACAGAAAAAACTGGTCCTACACCTTTCCACCAAATTACTGAAAAGTGTTATTTCGTGATATAAATAAAATTCAACCCAAAACACACCTGGGACAACAGACATGCCTACAAACAGAAACAACGAAAAGTCGTTTTTCTATTTCGGGCAAGTATCGGTCATTTTAGATACTGCTGCTTCCCTAAATTCTTTAATGACCTGAGTTATCTTCATCGCGGAATCTCTGGGGTCACCCAGGTATGTCACTGTGCCAGCTGCAAAGACAGAGCCTTCCCTCCTTTCTGTCAGTGCCGGGGCCTCCGAGTGTCCCTCTGGTTTAACGCCAGCAGCTCCAGTCCCCGAAGCCATAGGAACACGCATGACGGCGCGGCCCTCGCCACAGTCCTGGCCTCGGAGGAAGATGCTCACTTTGGGGCTCAGACGCCTGCACTTTAGTATGTTCGGGAAGGACCATCAATTCCTCTTCTTACTGTTTATCAAGGATGGGCGTCTGGATGAGTTTATAATCAGGTCTTCACTGTGGCATGAACCTAAACACCCCCCAAGTACCCACCAGGTCACCGCTTCGGGGATAAAACCAACAGCGGGGAGCGGAGGGGATGGGAGGCCAGAAGAGGAGGAAGGGACCCGCGTGGCTTCACTCAGGACTCAGGGCAGGCAGAAGCCCAAAGCCAGGCTGGAACTAGTGCCGAGACCCTGAAACCACAACCACAGGGACGCAGACGGCCCTCCTTCCTGGCACAGGGGACCAACATCCTCTGTGTCCTCCGGCTTTCTGCCCTCAGCTCCTGCTTCCCTCTGTGAATCCCTGGACAGCTTGTCCATGCACCCAGGACAGGACAAAAGACCGGGCACCGGACTGCAGTCCTGCCTCCCACCTGGGGCCGCCCCCCCGCCCCAGTTCAGCATGGTCAGCGTCTGAGTCGTGCTCTCTTAAGTGCAGGGACGGAGCCGGGCTGCAAGGCTGACACTGTCCGGTGTGTGAAAGGCACAGAAAATGGGACAGGGCGAGAGTTTTTCAGAGACATATACATGGCCCAGAATTACTGGATAAAAGACGAATTAGCCTCCATCTCAGCTCACGATTTTCTGCGCTTGGCATGACTGAGCTACAGGTTAGAGAGGACGTTGACGGAGACGCGTTCAGACACTCCTCGCATCGCCAGCTTCCTCTCCGTAGGAAAACGCCATGAAATCCCAGGTCTTCGCAGGTGATTTCAGCGTGGCGTTTATTTCATTCACGCGCTCCTGGTGAGTTACTAGGCGCTATTTAGAGATGACTGCGCTTGGGGACAATACTTGGCTTTTTTTTTTTTTTTTTTTTTTTAACGTGTGGGCACAAAAACCTCTACTAAAATAGGCATTAAATACCGCAAAGCCAACATAAATGTTCCTTAAACGCGCTTCTTAAAGAAATGTGCCTACCTCGAAGGAAGCAGCTCAGGCTCTGTGACAGAGCACGGGTCCTAGATCTGCAGCAATTCCCTCACTCACGCCGTCCAGCACGTGTGGATGGAGACCGGGCTTGTCAACCAGAGATGGCAAAATGTGGAGATGCCGCCTCTCCCAAAATTCCAACATACGGACAAGACAAGCAAAAATTCCGGTGCGGCTTCGCTGATTTTAGGCAGAAGGGAGCTCAGTGAGGCTGAAAGTGATGGGGTCTGGGCTCCAGATGGGGAGCTCAGAAGAGGGGCTGCCTCCCACTTCCAGGAGGCAGGCAAGGGCTGGTGAGGAAACGGAGACAAGCAAGCTTAGGGGGTCACACTTGTCCTTGGGGTACAAAGACGCTCTGACCACCACCGCAGGCATGGGCCTGGGCAGTACCAGTGTCATGGTTAGGATCTAAGTTAGTCAGATTAAAGGACACTGCAGCCAACGTTTAGTTGGAAGGAGGAAAACAATTGTGAAATTAAATAAAAAAAAAAAAAAGACAATAACACCAAAGAGGATTAGCTTAAAAACAAAAAAAAAGAAGCAAACTTTAAAAGTATTTCTCAGGGGCGCCTGGGTGGCTCAGTGAGTTAAAGCCTCTGCCTTCAGCTCAGGTCATGATCCCAGGGTCCTGGGATCAAGCCCCACATCGGGCTCCCTGCTCAGCAGAGAGCCTGCTTCCTCCTCCCTCTCTGCCTGTCTCTCTGCCTACTAGTAATCTCTGTCAAATAAATAAATAAAATCTTTAAAAAAAAAAAAAAGTATTTCTCAAATCAGGGCGCACTCTCTGACTCCGACAGGCCCAGGACATGTTATCCCGTATTCCTCAATGTGGATGTGATCTGTGCCCCTCACTCATGGAACGCGCCTCAGGAGAGCACCTGCTCGACGCTGTATGAAGTCCTAGAGCCTACACAAAGTAAAATCGAGCCCTGCCCTGAGCCGCCCTGGGTAGAAATAGCAACATAACCCTGCACAGAGTGGTACCATTTGAGCTGGGTTTTGAAGGATGAATAGGAGTTTTCTGAGAGGAAAAGAAAAGAGAGCTTGGTACTCCCGGCCTTGGAGGCAAGAGCTTAAGTGAATGGCACTGTGCCCATGCTTACTATTTTCTCTAAATTACAATCAATCAATCAATTCTCCATTAAAGTAAAAAGTGTCCCGCTATGAACCTGGGGCTAAGTCCCCTATATTTCCCGAGCCAGGAACTTCAAGGTCTACGTCGTTTAAGGTAGAATCTGACCAGAGGAAGAAATAAACGAGAACGTCAGAGCCAAAAACATGCTGTGGCAGCCCTGCTTCAGTAACGGGTCACACTGTTACTCTCTGGTGACATCACTGCCCCAAAAGGCCCTGCCCCAACCCGAGGCCACTACACACCCTGTGGTTCTCAGCTTCCAGGGTTGCGTGTGACCCACTGTCAGGAGAGCGAGCCACCTGACTTTCGTTTCCATTTTAAAAACCGGCGCCGGCTGTATTTCGGCAATTTATCATGCAGCCTCTTAAAAGTTTAAACTTCTGCTTCATCAAACACCAGAGCCTAAACCAGGTCTGACGGCCGCCTGGCTCCCGGAGACAGAGACGCGAGCGAGCAGCAGCTGCTGACTCCTTACCTCCGTGCACGAAGCCGTGCAGGGTACAGTCGGAAGGCCCCACCAGGTGAATCAGGCTGGACTGGCTGTAGCTGACCGTGTTGGGCTCTGGAATGGCAAAGGAGAGGGGTTAGGCCATGGGACAGCTCGATGCCCGCGACCGAGCACCATGACGTCTGCGCGGGCACTGAGCGCGTCCAGGTGCCGGCCGCTCAGGTGAGAGTTCTCCAAGGACAACTGCAGTCTCCACGTGCTTTGGTCCGTGAAAGGAAAGGCTTCCAGGGGCTCGTCAGCCCCTCTGTTAGCGGGTCATGGTGCTTATTCCTGGGGACACCAGTGTGCCCAGTGAGGCCCGCTCCCGAGGTATAGGCAGCCAGTCAACACCTCGGAGCTACACGCCCCCAGGGCTGCGGTGACCCTCCATCTGGACAGTCTTCTGACTTTCACTCCCAACTTTGTAAACAATCACGGACACAGCACCCCCCACCAGCACACGAGCCCCGGGAACACAGTATGGACACAGTGCTGGCAGGAGACCCACGGTTTGCTCTCCGGCCACTGACCCACAAGGTACCACCGCTAAACCCAATGGGAACCACATGCAATCCGAGACCCTGATCCCTGAGGTCAGGCAGTGGCTGGACAGGTTCGGGGTGAAATGCCCCATGTGGGCGTGGGAAGGAAACAGGACGTGGTGGTCAGCCGGCAGCACCGGGCAGCCCCTTCTCCTTGCCTTCTCCACGCACACCAGGCCACGCTGCCCGGCCTCCTCGGCACGCCGCCTTCCCGCCAGAGAGGCGCGAGCGGAACGCTGCCTGCTTTCAGCCCGAACCACGCGAACCCCGGATGGGGGAGCCCCTGACCTTTCCCCTTCCGAGGTAACCCCAAAGGCTACCTGTTCAAGACGCACAGCTACGAGTCCGCCCCACCTGCAGGACACCCCCTGATCAGGAACAGCCGGTTTGGACTTCACGAGAAATAAACCTCTATGAGGTCGGGCACTGGGGTCCCAGGGTTCCGCAGCGGGGGCGGCTGCCATGACAACTGGCTGGCAGGGCACCTAGCGTTTGGATCTCAAGATCATGGCAGCACCCGGAATGTGAGTGATGTCCCCAGGGCAGCAACGGGAGAGTGTCGACACGGCTATAAAATACCCAGAATTCCCCCTCTCCTGTGTTAATAGCCGGGGAACAGTGGCAGAGGTTAAGTCCCCATGGAGGCGCAGGTAGGACTCAGACCCGGGCAGCCCAAGTCTCCACAACGTGTCCCTCACTGCCCTGCCCCTGCCTCCTCACGCCTCACTCTCTCCCCAGAACAAATGCTGATGGGCGCAGGAAGATGGGGCCTGGTCAGATCCTGGGAGACCCCAGATGCACACCAAGCACTCAGGGGCGGCTGGGGTTGGGCTGACACGCGGGGGCAGAGCCTGGGCCCAGCCCAGCAGCCGGAGCTGGGTTCTTTGTCATCAACCCGACTGCCCCCAAACGGCTCCGATGGCCACACAGTCCCTCCACGGTCAGGGCTGGACCTCTGACGGTTGTAGATCAAACAGTTCAAGGCAATTGTATTTTCTCTTGTCGGATGGAGAAAACAAAACAAAACAAAACAAAACAAAACAAAACAAAACAAAAAGCTGGGTTTCGAAGAACGCCCAGACTCTCTGAAAGGACACCTGAAGGATAAGGTCAAGCCTGCGAGGGAGTGCCTAGGCAACAGCGTGCCCAAATCGGGTTCTGGTGTCAACCCTGAGAGAGGGCTACAGATACGGGGGGGTCCTCCCCCAGGGAGGGGCTGCAGTGTTCCAAAGACCCCAGTGCCGACCCCACACTCTGCCCTTCTTGCTGGGCACCTGCCCCGCTGGCGGGTCCTGGGGACCCCATCCCGCCCTCCTCTGGGCCCCGGGAGGCTGGCTGCAGAGGCCCAGCTCCGCCCTGCCAGGGTGAGGCCAGTTCTACCGGGACACTGAGGTCAGAAATGCAGGGCACATTCAAAAACAGCAAGGAATGGGCATATGGCTTCCTTAAGAAGCATTTAAAAGCCAGTCCCTAAACTAATCATCTGAGAAAGATGCATTCTTATTGGAACACAGAAAAATAAAAATAAAAGTTTGTAAAAATCTATCAAGAAATGAGATTTTGGAGACGCCTGAGTGGCTCAGTGGGTTAAGCTTGCCTTTGGCTCAGGTCGTGATCCCAGGGTCCTGGGATGGAGCCCCACATCGGGCTCCCTGCTCAGCGGGGAGCCCGCTTCTCCCTCTGCCTGATGCTCTCCCTGCTTGTGCTCGCTCACTCTCTCTCTCTGACAAATAAATAAAATATTTTTAAAAAAGGGAAAAAAAGGAGATTCTGGGGCGTTTGGGTGGCTTTGTTGGATAAGCATCTGCCTTTAGTTCAGGTCATGATCTCAGGGTCCTGGAATCGAGCCTACTTTGGGCTCCCAGCTCAGTGAGGGGCCCGCTTCTCCCTCCCCCCAGCTCGTGTGTGTTCTCGTTCATTCTCTCTCTCTCTCTCAAATAAATAAAATCTTTAAAAAAAAGAAAAAGAAATCTTGAGAGGCAGAGTGTCTCCTTTGACTAAAGCATTGGAGAGTAATAGATTCTGAGAATCGTTATGTATCCGATGCACAGTCAGACGGGAGAGCAAACAGGAAATAACCCCTGCATGAGGGGACTTAGGCTGGAAACCATGAGTGTCATATTGTTTCCCAGACAGTCAGAAGAGGCATCCAGGACTGGCTCCCACCCAAGCACTCGCCAGAAAGGGCCCCCAGAGAGGAGTGCCCCAGCAGCCCCCACCTGGTGCCCAGACTTCCGCCCAGTCCATCCCTGCTGCCACTGGGTTGACACCGTCTCTCCCCTCCTGTCTAATGAGAACAGTCACTGGTCCCTGCATTAGGGACCCAACTGGGTAATGCAGAATGACCTCGTCCTAAGATCCTTAACTTAATCATATCAACAAACACCCTTTCTGCAAATAAGAGTCCAGAATGGGGGATGGACGGGATGGACAGGTCTTTAGGGGGAGGGCTGCCGTTCAGCCCCTCCAGCTTCTCTGTTCCAGAATACCTTCAGCACCAATTTTGTACCTTTCCTAAGACATCGCCTCTCCCTTCGTCACTTGGCAGTCTCCCATGTCTTTGCCTGACCAGCACGCTTGCCTGCCCCCGCCCCCTGAGAGCAGAGCCTGAATCTGGCATCGTCGCTGCCCTCCGTCATCAGGAGTGACCCCAGGCCCATCTTGTGGGTGACTATGTTAGAAACCGATCATCTATTCCAGCAACATTCTGTCTTATGAATACTAACAAGTAATTTACCATCTTGGCGTCTGCTGAGAAGCAGATGTGAAGACAGTGAAGACACTCCCCCACTCACAGGCCACTGGCCTTTGCCGTGGGCAGGTTGAAGCTGGGAGAGTGAGAAGGATAAGGGGGAGATGTGCGTGAGAGGACAGAAAGATTTGCAGAGTCCTGTGCGAACTACACAGGCGCTGCAGACAAACCCAGGAGGTTCCATCCTCACTCGCACAGCTGCTGGGTGGTCACCAGCCCCCCTGCCTTGATGCTGGATGTGGCCTGAAGCCTGAGCAGGCAGGTGGGGGGACCAGAAACCCAGTCCAGTCTGTGTCCTGGAGTCCACCGTTGTCCTGGTTAGCGGGAGCTGGGGCATAGCGTGGGGGGAGGGGAGCCCAGGGCACACAGGGGCACATCAGCGAGGAAAGGGTTACTCGGGACAGGTCCTCGGCTGTCAAGGACCAAAACGTGGAACTCAAACACACCTGTGTCCGGGGCACCCTGAGGGGTCACCCCGTGGAGCCCCACACAGAACACAACATGTTCTTGAATCCTCTCCCCTCGGATGACGTGTGTTCGTGTGTGTGCGGTGGAGACACACAACCCAGTGGTTCACGGTGGCCTTGAGGGGGACAGACCTCCTGAGATCCTGCCCTGCACCGTCTGAGCCCCAGGGCAGCGGCCTGCTAAGGACTGGGGAGGAAAGTCCCATCTGGAAGGAAACCAGCCTGGACCTCTCTGTGTGGGTTCTGGGCGGACACTTGGCTGATGCTGGCCATGGGAGGGAACGACCTGGAGGCCCCGGCCTGAGGGGAAGCTGCGGGCCCACAGATGTGAGGGCCAGGCTGCTGAGGAGAAACGTGGAAAGAGCTGCTGCCATTTGCCTGTTTTTTATGAGCTGGAAATCCCATAAAAAATGTGCTCCTGAGCTACCTTGCAGGACGGGCACAACGGCACAGGCTCGCTCCTGTGTGCCCACGCAGTGGGGTCTCTGCCTCATACTCCAACGGCCTGCCGGGACCCCCAGAGCTGTCCCATCCCCTCAGCACTGACGGCGCTACTGGGAACGGGTTTGCAGGGACAGGGGACAGGGTTGTGAGGACCACATGCACAGTGAGGGGCTGCACCGACCCCAAGAGGAGAAGGCTCAGGAGCCTGCCGCATCCGGCACCTGCCAGCAGAAGTGAACCCCCCACCCTGCACCCCAGATTTTACCTGGGTTCAGGACAGGCTGGACGATGTCCCCGTTCCTCCACTTGGTCTCCATGCGCGCCAGCTTCTGGGCCTCATACCGCTTCCGGCCCTCTTCCTCCTGCTCCTGCCGGGAGTACTGCCAAGAGGGGTGCGCAGACGGTCAGGCCAGCAGCAGCGAGCCTGGCCTCCTGCCCCTTGCCCTCCCTGCGCAGGCGTGGCTCGGCCTCCCAGCCTCAAGTCTCTCCTGGCATGGTCTCCAGGCATGCAACCGGAGCCATCCATCCCTGTCCTGGGAAGACTTAATATAATCAATAAAAACTGGGGCGCCTGGGGGTGCTCAGTGGGTTGGGCCTCTGCCTTCGGCTCAGGTCATGATCTCAGGGTCCCGGGATCAAGCCCCGCATCGGGCTCTCTGCTCGGCCAGGAGCCTGCTTCCCTCTCTCTCTCTCTGCCTGCCTCTCTGCCTACTGGTGATCTCGCTGCCAAATAAATAAATAAAATCTTTTAAAAAAATAAATAAATATAAAAATATAAACATAGAGAAGGTGAAAATCTCATGTATCCAGAGATAAGCGGACTCAAACGTTTACTTTGTGTTTCCTCCATTGTTTTCATCTCCACATGTAGATAAAAGTTCTCCCGTGCCATGTGCCACGTTTCCAAGGAGCCGTATTTCCCCCTCTGACTGCATTAGCCCAACTTCTCAGCCTAACAGGACTTGGGGGATGGACCCAGTACTGAACGCATCAGGCCTGCTCCCAGCCCTTCGCTGTTCAAACAACATCCCGTCAACAACCTCTGTCACATTTTACACGTGCCCCTTCCTTCCTAGGACTTGTCCCCGGACACAGAACTACAAAATCGCAGGAACCCGACAGGGCGAGGGGAGAGCAGGGTTCCCGCGTGCCCTCAACACGCCCTGCCCCTGTGGACCTCCCAGCCTGTCCGACAGGCTGCACACTTGCGGGAACGCACACCAAAGCTACGACAGTCCCACTGACGCTGTCATCATGAATCACAGGTGTTCGGACCCAAGAAGTTAAGAATAAACATGAATATAAAACTTGGCACAAAAATGGGTTCCCAAGGGCACAGTGGGAGACGCTGGGTTTCTCTGATGTGACAGCAAGGGCCCTGTCCCCAAGCCCAGTGTAGGACACATACACATGCCCTCTGTGTGGGACCCCTTGGGAAAGCCGCAGGCCCAGTCTTCGGTGGCCAGCTTCCCGAGAACCCTCTCCCTTCCTGCCGACCACGGCCCAGCCAGCCCCCGCTCAGTTAGCTCTGACATCTGCCCTTGCCTTCCCTCAGGTGGCATTTCCAGCAGACCCGATGGAGAAGCTTCTGCACGAAGGGCCCCATGGGCCCCTCTCCACGGCCCACTACAGCCTCTCCAACTTGGGCAAGTTCACTTTAGACAACAATTTTGGACCTTCTTTCAAAAGCCCGTTTTAAACATCCTGATTTTCCTGCTTATGGCTCTGCTCCAAATCGCACAGGGTTGGAACACCAGTCTGCAGCTTAATTACCATTATCTGAGGCTTGAGAACCTGTCTCCCAAGGAGGCCAAGAAAGGAGCTGAGGAGTCTGTTCAAAAGAAACAAACCCCAAGTGTTTAAGTTACGGTGGATAATTCAACCTTTTCCTCCATAGATAAACCGCGGCCTCCTGTCCCACCGTCCACAGTAAAGAGCGTACAAGCAGAGTCTGTGCTGTACCTATCCGTGAAATTCATGGCTGCACTCAAGTGTCCTCCAGAAGTGCCTTTTAAAGAGATATTTTTTAAGAAACAGCCAACCTCCCGAGCCTCGTAAATCCTGGCCGTGTGAGCCCGCTACTTGGGCCTGGGCCCTCGCACGCGGCTGGCGCGGCCCCAGCCGGACACGAGCCAAGAAGACAGAGGAAACACAGCCTCCTCCCAACGCTGGCCTCTGGCTCTGACTCTGGGGATAAAGCCACTGCAAGTCCCAACGTGAGGTCCAAGAGCCTGGGCGGACTTTGAACTTGAGCGCACATTCTGACACCGGGAAAAAGAAAAAAACCCACAACCCAAGTCTGCTCTCGGATGCCTCCAGCCTCTCCCGGGTCACCGCAGAGACACTGAGGTCCCTGTTCCCTGGAGAAGAGGGTGAAGCCAAGTGGCCGCACCTGACACCAGACACCGCCATGGGGGGTCGGCCGCCGGCGACTTCAGGGAGACACACACAGGGCCCCTCTACACACATGTGAGTGTGTGCTATGTGTGGCATACGTGTCCGTGGCACACACACACCTGAGAGACGGGTGTCACACACACACACCTGGACAGAGAGATGTGTGTGTTCTCAAAGAAAGGGCAGTGGTCTGTAAAAGGTCGATGGCGGGATTTGGGGGTGGGGGGGATGAGAAAGCCTGTGGCCACGCTGCCTGCGATGCATAAATGCCACCGGAGCCTTCCAGGATGGATCAGTGTCCTTGTCAGGCAAACAGCAGACCTGTATCTCATACCCACTGAAGGCCTCTCTGCGGGGCTGCCCGTGTTGGGGGATGAGCTCTCGTGAGTACCGGGGCTCCCCACAGCTGGGAGCTGCGCGGTTTCTCCCATCTGGGACCCTCTCCGCGGCCGCCTCCGCAGGGCAGAGTCGGTGTCTCTGTCTTATCGGAGCCGGCTCAGCAAAGGGGCTGGGAAAGCTCCGGGCCCCCCGGGGATGTGGGGGTCAGTGCTCCCTGGGGAGGACGGGAAGACCCAAAGCTCTCAGCCCCCCATTCCCCTGGCCCCGAGGGGCCAGAGGAAGCAAAGGCTCATGGGTTCAGCCCCGGAAGCTTCCTTCAGCATCAACCCCCGAACGTGTAGCATCAGGTGCCGAAGCCAGAGAAGGGCCCGTGGGAGACTTCCAATCCGCGGTGTCCGAAAATGCAAACAGCTCGATAATCAGGTCGTGTTTCCCTGCGATGCGACAGACCGAGTACCCAGGGCTCGGGCGCAGAAGATGAAAGTGGGGGTGGGTATGCTTGTAATTTCCGGAGAGAACAGTCACTCACTCCTGAGTGTAGGGTCCTGCCCCCAGCCCCCTGCAGGGAGGGGAGAGAGCGGGAGGGAGGGAGGGGGTGGGGCGGGGCAGCAAGGAAGGGCAGTGTTCTGGGGAGAACAGTATGTCCAAACTGAAGCCGTGCACGTGACCTCGACAGAACTGGGGTCTGGATGAGGCAAGGCTGCAACAGAACGGACCCCTCGCTCGTGCAAGGAGGGTGGCGCCAGCGCCGTCATCAGGTGGCAGCACTATGTCCCTCTTTCGTGGGGCCAAAGGACAGCCACCCATCCAACTCAGGCCAAGGTCCAAGCACCCTTTCCCCTTCAACATGGAAAGGGCTCCCCTGTCTCCAGAGAGTTTTTTAAATATTTAGACTTTGAGGCAACTAGAGCCATCCCGACCTGGGGAGACGTGCCACCCGGGCCTCGCCTGCCCCCAGGGGCCCAGGCAGGGTGTGGGGTCAGACCCTGGACTGCCATGGGCAGAGGTGTGGCTGGTGGGGAGTTCCAGGGAGCACCCCCGGTAGGGTCACACTTGCAGGGGTGCAGGGAGTGGAAAGGTGGGCCGCAGAGTCAGAGCAGGCCTCCTCCAAGCAGGAAGGGCCTGCACCCAGCGTCCCTGTGAGGAGGAGGACGGGACCCAGCTTCTCTGTGAGCTCAGTGTGAAAAGAGCAGGCGCCAGTGCCCACGGCTGTGGTTCCCAGTTACACGGTTTTAAAAAAAAATCTGTTCTTTGCATGAGCACAGGAAAATGCTCGTGGCAAGGCAGCCACGGTCCGAGCCACGGGATGGCTCCTCTAGAACAGCTTAGGTGTGAGAACAGAGCCACAGGCCTCCACCGAGGAGCTGTCACACATGTCTTGGAAACATGAAGGGACTTGGGCACCACGGGGGTGGGGGGCGGGTAACATTAAGGAAGGAACTAAATCCTTATATCGGCTCGACTTTCACCCTCCAACACCCTGCCCACCCAAGCGCGCCCAGCAGGCTGGGAATGAATACAACAGGCTCCCTTCGTGCAAAGATGGTTCTGTCTGCAGCAAACCACAGTGAAGGGACCAAGGACAGCAGAGGACGAGGCGGAAACAGAAATATCTTAGCCTCTGTTTCGTTAGGGGCTGAGATGAGGAGCGGCTGGCCTGGGCCACACAGCTGGGAGGTCCTGGTTCTCTCAGAAAGACCCGTGACCTGGCACGGTCCCAACCCACTCTGGTCGGGACATGAGGAAGGGCCCTCCGGGAGGGGCGTCCACGAGCGAAACCTGCACGAAGATCCCACCAGGGACAGCCCCCTCCACCAGCAGCGCCGGTCCCCAGCTCCCGCTGTTGCTGTCCTGGGACACCTGGGTAGCCTCTGCCATCTGCCCCTGAGAGAAGCGGAAGGGGGGTCTCCTTACCACGACTGGAGGCACCTCCAGGACCTTGTCCACGTTCTTCAGTGACAGGGGCACATACCACAGGGTGGCCTTATTGGTCAGTTTTTTAGTACCTTCAGAGAAAAAAACCACGTGAATGATGGCACGAGCCTAGGGCAGGTGGGGCTGAGACACAAGGTGGGAGCCAGGGCCCAGGGCATGGGGAGCTGCCCCAGCCCACCCCAGTGCTGCCCCCTGGAGGCTGCTGGAAAGACGTCCTATCACACACTGGGGAACCGGCTTTCCAGCCTTTTCTAACCCAGAGGCTCCTCCCCTACATGGGTCTTTGACAGGAGGGGAGTTTGGCCTTCGACTTGCCCGGAAGCCTGAGGGGTCTCATGGGGCCCTCACCAGCCACCTCCCAGAGAAGAGGGGCAGAGCCAGGGCATTCAGGCTCCGCTGAGCTCGTGTCTGCAACCAGACCCCGCAGACCTGTGCTCGGCGAGGGAATGTCCACCTCCTGAACAGGCTAACAGCTCCTGCCAGAGGGGGCCAAAAGGACAGCGGCCCACGGACGTGAGAGGCTCGGGGACACATGGAGCCAGAGCCCGCATGGGTAGCACCGGGAGCAGCGGCGGCCGGGCCCCTGGGCAAGGCCCGTCCCGCAAGGTGGGAGGCTTCACCCCAGACTCTCGGATTTGTGGCCACCGGCCACCGACTCAGAACTCCAATTTGGGTGGAGTGCTGACAGATGGGCGGTGGGCTGCTCAGCCCCACTGTGGGCCAAGTGACAGGAAACAGAACCTTCCTTAGGCCTACCAGGGAGGCCTGCCTGGGCTGAGAACCACGCGCCAGAAAAGTCCAGGGATCGCATGGTCCCTCGCCTCCCCACTTGTGTAGGAGGAGCCTGAAGCTCAGAGAGGTCAAGGGGTCTACCTAGGGTCACACAGCAACTCGGTGCTATTGTGTGCATAGACCTACACCTCCGGGGTCCCAGTAGTTTCAGGGAAATGTCTGTAAAGATGCCTTAAAATGTAGCTTCCTCAACACAGAAGATCCTCCGTGTGGTGAACAGCAGAACTGCAGGACGTGAAGGACGCAAGTGGGGAGGGTGGACAGCAGCCAGGTGTCCTCTCCAAAGCCCGTCGTGGGGCTCCCCTCCTCGCAGTGCTTTCTCTCCTGGTGCCTTCCCAAAGGGCCTCTCGCTTCTGCCCCTGAACACAGCCCCAAGGCCCGAGCTGAGCCCTGTGGTCACGTAGGAGGATGAGCCCCCGGCACCCGGCCTGCACTGCCGGCCCCATCGGGACAGGCTCTCCGTGCTTGGGAACCACAGGCCAGTAACAAGGAAAATATTTTCACTGCACTTTGACTGAGAGTGAATCTGACAACCTGCTTTTGGGAATAAAGATTTCCTGTTTGACTCTGCCAGAGCCAGTCTGACAAGCTGGTTTCCATGGAAACCCAGAGTGGCCCTCCTTTAGACCCAGATGGGCGCCACGGGCCAAATGAGGCAAAACATGCTAATTGTACTTTCTCCATCATTTAATAAAACCATCAAAAGACAATTGCGGCATTAAAAACACCTCTTTTAAAATCTTAAGCGCTCCCAGCTATTTTCTGGAGCAATTGGTAACAATCAGGTCCCAGTTAGCTTAATATTTTGACAGTTGCCGCAGAGGAATGAGCGTACTGGAAGGCAGAGGTTTGCCGGCTGTCTGCCTCGGTACGTGTTCGCTTGGCTGCCTCTGGGCAGGCAGCACAGCCCCAGAGGAGGGGGACACACCAGACAGGGGACCCCTGCCTCCTGGGGTCTCAGTTTCCTCCCCGTCCCCTGTCAGAGTCACCCTGGGTCCGAGGGGCCAGGCACTGTTGTAGGCAGGGGGGGACCGCAGGGGACAAGGCAGCCACCAGCCCTGTCCTCGTGTTCTAGACATGTGGACAGAAAGACACACGTCAGGACAGAGAGGGGGCCTCGAGAGATGTGGGGTCCCAGAATAAGAGCGATCTGCACAGATCCAAACTCAGAAAGACAGAGGGAGGATAACCAAGACGCGGATGCCCAGACGTGGCGATGACAGAAAGAGACGCAGAGATGAGAGAGAGACGGACATGTGGTGGGGGAAGGAGAGAGGTGGCTCCTGGCCCTTCAGCTGGAGGTATGGGGCAAGAGAACCCACACACGGAGAACGGCCACGGCCCTCAGGGCTCCAAGAGTGGCCGCCCGCTTCGTGTAATAGGGAGGCCTGAGGGTCAGGAGGCCCCGTCTGGAGAAGCAGAGCACAGTGGGGTCACAGAGCCCACACCCATCCCGTGAGGCTGGACACCCGCAGCCCCTCTCCTCACCACCCGTTCTCTCCCCCGCAGGGCCCGTCAGCTCTGCGTGCCCACCCTGCAGGGAAGGAGCGAAGCCAAGGCCGAGCGACCAGGTGCTGGGGGGCGGGGGGCATCCATTCGGGCGGGGTAGAGGGCTGCCATCTCACCACCTCGGCCCCGGGCGAGAAGCCCCTGCCCCACAGTGGGAGCAATCCCTTTAGAGGTCAGGCGGAGTGTGTCCTTCTAGACAAAACCGTCCATCAGCTTTCCGTCTCTGGACAGAAACCCAAATCTCCCTGACAGCCTCCGTTCACTCCATCACTCATTTGCCTGCATTACCAGCTCTCCATCGGCTGTGGACCAAGAGACGCTGCTGGGAAGCGGAAAGCGTGACTCCTTCCCTGCGGAGTTCACGGTGGAGGACAGGGCTTCTCAGCCTCGTCCGGCACAAGGACACGTTGGACTGGGTCCCCCTTCGCGGTGGGGACCCCTGGCCCCAGTGCGTGCAGTCTGTGCGGCTGCATCCCTGCCCTCCCCGCCCCGCATGCCAGCCCCTCTGCCCAGATGGTGACAACCAAAAATGTCCCCTTGAGAGTCACCGTGCTGGGGGCCCAATGCTGCGGGGCTGAGCTCCGCTTTGCAAGTCAAGAACGCCCGTCTCCGGGCCTCTTCCCCTTTCGCCACAGGGAGATGCTACTCAGTTCCTCAGGGTTTCTGCAGCCAGAAATCTGGAAGGCGGACCCGCCCCCATCGGAAGTCCCTGGCATCCTGCTGCTGACCACCATGAGAAAGCCCCACTGCTGGGACGGCCATCAGAGGGAGAAGACGTCTGGAGACGGACAGCAGCTGAGACAATGAGTTCCCCTCGATCCCCGAGGCCTGGGCCACAGGGACTCCAAGGCGCCGTGGTATCCCTTTCTGGGCCGCGGCATGCGACATCCATGGTCGCTTAGATGCCAGAGCTACGGTCTCCCCCAGGGCCTGGACACAAACACAGGGCACAGGGAGGCTGAGTGCTCCAGGGGCACGGGCCCCCGTTCAGCTAAACCGTTCACCACGCTGTGGCCAGGCCTGCTGAGGACACCGGATATTCCAGATGGACAACTGGGCTCCAGGCCCGGGGAGGGGAGAAGCCTGAGCCCCTGTAAGCTCTCCCAGCAGGGTAGCTGCAGGCCACCACTGCCAAGGAAGGAGGAGGGGCACGAGGAAGAAGACCCAAGGACCCAGGCAGCTCCCGCCTCCAGAAGCAGCGTGGACTGTCCCCTGCGTGGGACAATGTGGGAGGACAGGGTGGCCTGGGGCAGGGAGGGTGGCAGCAAGGGGACAAAGGGGCCTGCGTTCCTCATCAGCAGCCCAGTTATAAAAAGCCGTAGCGAGTGCAAAGCAGAGCCCCACTCCCCTGCAGAGCCCAGTGGGAGGATGAAAAGGGGTTTCCATGGTTACCACTGGGAGAAGGAGAATATTCAGATCAAACCAGAGTCAAAGGTTCGCAGGAGCTTCAGCCTAAGCCTGGAATGCAGGGCCCCAGTGCAGGGAAAAGGGCGGGACAGCGACCGACTCCCCCACCCCCACGCAGCCAGTGGCCCCCATCCAGGGAACAGCAAAGAGGGTAGAGGGTGGGGGTTGGGGGGGAGACAGCAGGGGGCTGAAGGGTGGCTTGTGCCCTCCCAGCCCACTGCCACCCCTCTGCCTCTGAGGAGCTGGTCATGGGGCCTCCTCCCGGGGAAGGCAGGAGGGGAAGGTCTGCGCACCGGGAGCCCAAGTCCCACTGGGGAAGCTCGCTGTCACACTCATTGCCTAACCTGTCCCTGTCTGCAGAACAAGGATGGCAGGAGCGTCTGCTCAGGGGTGGAGCTGGGAGCAGAGGGACTGTCACTCACAGAGGGCGTCAGGGCCAGGCCCCCTGTCAGCGCGAGCTGTGGCTGCTGCTGGCGGGGACCCAGAGCTGGCTTGGTGAGACGCGTGCGGAAGTTACCTGTGAGGATGTTTTCCGACATCACGTGGACCTGGACCTCCACGGAGTGCTTAGAGGTGTAGGTGATCTCCGCGCTGACGTGCGCCACCTCGCCAATGCACATGGGGGACAGGAAGTCCGTGCGCTCGACGCGGGCCAGGGCGGCCACACAGCGCTCCTGTGGAGACCAGAGACAGGTGAGCCCCAGCCCTGGCCGCACTCCTCAAAAGCGGCCCTTCTTCCCCCCGCTGTGAAAGTCACGCCATTTCTCGACATCACACATTCCTAATTGCAAAACCGCGGGACACACAGCAAGGCCTCACGGGACACCCTAAAGCAATCAACAGCGGATTCTCTGAGCAGTGAGGGTGCGAGTGGCTTCTTTTTTCTAATTTTTCTACAAAAGACGTGTATCACTTCCATAATGAAAAGTAAAAAAAGACATACTCATCATGGAAAATTTGGGAAGTACACAGAGAAGTAGACTGAGGAGGGAAAATCACTCCTCCCTTCGGAAGAGAACCCAGCTTTCTATTTCGGGATCTTCCTTCCCAGGCTCTTCTCCCCAAGAACGGGATCTCCCGGCTCCTCTGCAGTTACTCAGGCTCATGTGGCCGTGCAAACATCAACAGATGAGTCCACAGCCTGCTTCCTCCTCCACTCGAAACAAGGAAACATAACCTGCCTGTGTTACAAACGATGCTTTGCAATCAGTGTTCCTTTGTTTAACTGTTATTTATCCTTCAAATAGTGCAGGACTCAAAACTCAAAAGAAGAAAAGGGTACAGGGTACGAGGTGTGTGTTTGTCACTGGTCCCCAGCCACCCAGAACCCCCTTGGTAAGGGATCGACGTGGCCACGGAGTACACCACGTCTGGAGGGCCATCTGGAGGGCACGCGACAGTCTACACTGGGGCTTGTTCTCTAGTGAACCTGACTTCCTCGTTCTTCTGCATGGCCGTTTCCATCACAGACGTCACTGTCACTTTCCACAATGGACACACCCTCTGTTGCAAAAGTGTGTTTAATGGCCAAATAGAATGGAATATTCCATTATCACAGTCTTGGGTCCAGCTGGGTCCGTTTGCTTCTTACTATAAGCAACCCTGTGATGGGTATCCTTTCACGTAAATCATTTTCAGTATGGGGGCTGTTTCCCAGACTGAAGGGACATTTTGGTGTATGTTCTCGAAAGTACTTCTCAACAGGGGGACCTCAGACCCTCACTGCCAAACAGAGCACTTGGCCCGTCTATCGCTTTCTCCTGGAAAACAGCCCTCTTCTCCAGGAGGCTGGGCGCACCCAAGCTGGATGGGGAGCTGGGGGTAGGAGCCTGTCCATCCGGCCCTGCCCGCTCTGGTATTCGCCTTCTCAGTTAGTCCTCGCAGTACCCCTCATCCAAGGTTTGGCGACACCGAGCTTGTAGTAATAGTCACTCCGAGCCCCGGTGGCACCTCCTGCGGTTATCTGTGCAAGAGCCCACCTGCTGCCTCATGGACGCGCCAATGCCCTGGGGCCCCTCAAGCCGACCGGACCTGCTTCTCTGGAGGGACAGTCAGAGAACTTGTACCTTCACCCCTCTTGGGTGAGTCAAGAACATGGGGTGGGGGTTCCTCCAGTTTCTGTTCCTATAAACGTGCCAGAGCCAGATCTCAGCAAGCAAGGGAGCAGAGCGGCTGGGAAAGCTTCCAGGGCTAGGCTGCGGCTTCTCTAATCTGTACCGACTCCCCGCACCACAACTTGCCCCCTAATCTGCCCTTGCTTCCCCCCAACCACGACTTGCCCCCTAAGTCACACAGACACTAAAACAAAGTGCACCCCTAAGTAGACGTCTGTGGTTACGGCGCCACCCACCGGCAGAAAGTGGGAAAGGCACGTGCTGAGCGCAGCAGGACAGGAACCGAAGCCCCACTTCTGGGCCGCTTGGTGGAATTACGCAAGCGCTGTTACCCCAAACAGCGCAGAACCAGGTGTCGTCACTGGAGAGTGGCTAAATTTTGGTATGGCTACACTCACACATGGGTAACATACGTGCGTGTGTGTGTGAATAATTTTTAATGGGATTGCAGCTTAGTCTTTGAGGGACCTGAGCTCCCTCTTAGTGTCCTTCTTTCTGCAAGGAGGAGAAGATAAGATGCCTGCATGCTGAGATGAAGGAGGCGAACGGTGTGGGCAGGTGACCCAACGTGAGGTGACTGCTGACCCTCGGACACTCCGTCATGGGGAGGGTCATCAGCTTCCGGGCCGCAGCGGAGTGCCAGTACACCAGGGGACCGGAGGCCAGTCAGGAGGTCAGGAGGCAGCTACTGGCATGGAGCCAGGCACTGGGCCTGGTGCGGCGTGCAGGGTAGCGAGTCGGATCGCCTGCCCTCAGTTTGGGCTCGGACAGGGGGACGGATGATAAACAGGCAAACAGGACACGGCCACGTGGTGGCAGGTGCTCTGACAGGACCTTGTGGGAAGCGCTGGGGCCGGGGGCAGCCTCTGAGCTGAGGCGTGAGTGGAAAGGTGGAGGCAGGTAGGGACCGTGTGCACCCTCTCCAGCAGAGGGGAGAGCAGGAGGGACTGCGCAGGGCGGAGGCTGTGCAGGGGCGGGGAGGGGAGCACAGCAGGAGGGGTGAGCTAAGGGCCCTGAGGGACCAGGACTCTGCGGGTAGGGCAGGGACCCCGAGCAGACCAGCTGACTTTCTAGTCCCCGCACTTCAGAGTGGCGTGAACTCTGAGCAGCTGGCGGTGCTGTTCCCTTCCATGACCCGGAACACGGACACGGTGACCCAGGAGGAGACAGAGCTGCTCTCCACACTGTCCCAGGGAAAGCTGTCAGCACACACCTGCCACAGGAAGCCCTCAGGCCTGGCACAGGACGCCTGGCAGAGGCTTCACCCCTGCTCTTCTGGGTTGGAAGCCGCTTGTTAGGAATCTTCGGCTGGCTTCCAAAGGAGAGAAGGAATGTCTACAGGGCAGCTGCTCCAGAGACCTTTGCACACGGGGCAGCCTAAGAGAGACGGGTGGGCTGCCTGGGGGCTCTCCACCAGACCAGGGTGCAGACAGCACGGGCCCGGACCCAGGGCAGAGGCAACTTGACCATAAGCCGCTGCCCAAGGGCTCAGCAGGGCACTGGGCCCGCCTCAGGCATTCTGTAAAGAGCAGGTGCGACCCGAAGATTCAAAACACGAGCCAGCAAACACCTGCACGCAGGAGGAGGGCCTCCAGGCTGAGCACACCTCTGACTGCGTGTGCCTCTGACACAGCCCCGGGCCTCCCTGCTTCTGGGGCTTAAAGCAGGGGGCAGCCCCACACCGGGAGCACTCTCAGGAGTCTACCCCAGGAAGGGCCCTCCGCCATGCTCCCAGAGGTGACCAGTATCACAGTGCTCGCTGGACTCCGGAGCAGCCACGGGGCATGAAGTCAGGACAGCGGCTTCAGGAGCAGAGCGAGAAGGAACAGCGCAGGGCCCTGGGCTCAGCTCCCAGCTCTGCCACTCACTAGTGGGGCCGGCGGGCTGCTGCCAGGATCCAAGAGGGTGACCCCCGGAGAAAGGGGTGCGCCGCCCCTCTCACAGACACGTGGGCATCAAACGTGAGAGCGAGCGGGTCCAGAAGTTTCCCTCTCCCTACGATGACTGTTTGGGCTGCACCTGCCCTACTCCCACACAGGCCGCCTTCAGCAGATGCCACCATAGAGAGGGCCACTCTGGGGGACCTTCAGGAAGTCGTGTAACTTCTCTAGGCCCCTGCGCCTCGCCTACAATGTGGGGTTAAGACGACAGTTGGGAAGATTCCAGAGAGAAAAGGTCGAGCACACGGTGTGGTCGCTGGTACACCCTAAGCGCCTACTCAACGCTCCATAAGACGGCGATTCCACACACGCCCTTCTGGCAATGAGCAGATCGCCAGAGCGAGTCCACCGAGCTCCAGGCCTCTACTCAGATGCTGAGCATCCGGCAGGGACCTGAAAGACAAAGTCCCTGCCTTTGTTGGGTTTACATTCTAACGGGGTGGAGGGGGTGGGCAGACCAAAGATAAATGAGCAAAGTACATAATGTTCCAGGAGCAACAGTGCTGTGGAGTACAGCTGGGAGCAAGGAGGGAGCTGGTCATCGGGAAAGGCCTCAGTGGAGGTCATACGTACCAGACTGGAACCAGGTGAGGGGGAGCCATGCAGATTCTGGGGGAAGAGCAGCCCAGGCAGAGGGAAGAGGCAGTGCAAAGGCCCTGGGGTAGGAACACCAGCCAGTCACACAGAAGCAAGAGAGCCAGTGTGGCCCAAGAGAGTATAAAGGGGAAGGCACAGGAGATGAGGTCTGGGAGCAGGACGGTGCTCAGATCCGGAACTACCGAGCAGGTGGAGCCAATAGGACTGTTTGCCAGTGCCCTCAACAGAAGAGGAAGAATGGGGTCACTGAAGGTCCCCAGTTTTCAGTGTGGGTAACCAAATGCTTATAGAGGTCATGTACAGAGGAGAGGGAGTCTGGGAGGAGCAGCCTGGGGTCAGGTCCAGGGTGTCTTTTGGGGCCCATCAAGGTCAAGGGGCCAGTTCAGCATCCAGAAGGTGCCAACCAAGAGGTCCCAGCTGACAACAGAACCCTGGGGCCACATGACATACTAAAGACAGAAAGCGGATGAGACCTGCAGGGGAGCGGGGTGGGGGTCTCAGGGGGTGGGGGTGCCCCTGCCTGACCCAGAGACCCAGCGAGGCCCTCAGAGGTCAGCATTGGCCCCCATGCCAGGGTCTAACCACTTGGAGCTGCCTGGGGCTCACAAACCCTCCTGAGCCTGGAACTTCTACGCCCCCCTCCTGGGCCCACCAATCCAGAGACATCGCCAAGCCAACACATCAGAACGATCCCTCTTGTACCCCCAGGCTCCCTCCAGGGATGGGATGGGGAGGAGCAGGGGCTCAAAGCACAGGTTCAAGGCCTGGATTCATGGCCCAGACCTACCCCCTGTTTCCCCACGGCCTCGGGCAAGCATGCAGGCTCTCTGTACCTCCACTGCCTCCCCTGTGCAACAGGGGGTAACGGGGGAGAGGATTATATGAGCAGAACCACTTCAGAGCTTTGCAAAATGCTAAGCACTCACTACCCAGCAGCAGTTACGTGGGTCCCCACCATGCAACCCTCCCCCAATTCTCTCACTCCCCATCCTAACGTTCTCCTTCCCGGGTCCAGCCTCTCCTGCCAGGACCCTCACTGTTGGTCTCAGCAGGCCGCCAGGTGCTGGGTCCTCACGCAGGCCCTGCCCCACAGCGGCCACCAGAGGGCGCACTCTGAAAACGGCCTGGTTTGTCCCGCAACTCCAAGGGCACCTGAACAAATCCGGACTCCTAGCCGGGCCGGTGAGCCCCTCCTTCGCAGTGTGCTGAGGCCCCCTCGCCCATGTCCACCCATGAAAACGTTCACTCTGGCTTGGTTCCCACACCCGCGCACCCACACACCTGTGCAGGGCTCTCTCTCCTTCCCCCCTCCAGCCGGGGTACTGGAGCGTGCATTCCTCCCCTCGCGGTGGGTGGCTGGCCCAGGCCCAGGGAGACACAGGACACCAGGACGCAGAAGCCAGTGGTACTGCATCTCGACTGGCCCCCAGGTGGCAGTGTGGAGCAAGACAGACCCCCTCCCCCGAGCAAAGGTGCTGGGCCACCTCCAGAGGAAAGGTCACGAGGCAGGGCAGGAGAAGATGGGCCAAATGCCCCCCAGCTGCCCAAGCCGCAAAAGCAGAAAAGCTAACCCTCCTGCCGGGCGCTCTGGCCGGGCTTTGGTGGGCTTCCCCGGCAAGAGTGCCAGTGCTTGCCCAGGCTCCTCCCCGTTGAAGGGACAGGGGAGGGCTTAGGCCCAGGGCAGCAGAGCTGGGGGAGGGCATTCTAGAAACCAAGACTCTTCTGGATGGAGGGGGAGGAACTTAAATGCAGCTCTCAGCTGGCTCCCGCTTACTCTCTGGCTGCCCCCATCCCTCCTTGATGAATCCCCAGACCAGCACCATTCCAACGGGTGCGCCCCAGGGTTCCAGAAGCTCCCAAGGCCCAGGGATGAAGGAGGGGAGAAGCGCATGCAAACTCTCGTCCCGACCGGGAGTGGCTCGATGTGGCACACGTCGGGACGAGGGGCTGCTGGGCCTGGAATCTTCGGGGATCCCACGCGGGCTGGGCGGCGGCCCGCAGGCCTTACCCCGTTCCAGCTGTTGCAGTGCCGGGTGCTGATGATGGCTCCTGCCTCCTCGATCATCTTCAGGATGGTCCCACCGTGGACGTTGCCAGCCACATTGGCATCATCTGGCCGCATGATCCTGGGTGGAGGAGAGAGAAGCAGCGGGATGAGGCCACTGGGAAGGGTGTCACGCATGAACAGCAACAGCCAGAGGTCGTCCCAAGAGACCAAAGCCTCCTGAAGAAGGAAAAGGAACGTTCCGGGGGAGTTTGGTCAGAGAGGGCCGCTGCTCTGACAGCCCCAGACAAGGGTCCTGTCTCATGGGAAGGAGGGAAGGAGGCAGACAGCAGGACTGTGTCCCTGGGGCCGCAGGCACCCAGCAGGGAAGGGGTGAGAGCAGGGGCCTTCGGCAAAGGCAGCAAGACCACAGCACGGCTATTGGGGTTCCCAGCACACCTGCCCCTCCTGGTTCGCAGGCTCCCCAGCCACCTACAGGGCTGAATGAGCACCAGGACATAGGCTGTGACCCCGTGGAAGGCCACCATCGGAGTCCCAGAGGGGAAAACACACCCAGCCTCGGCTGCTCTGAGAAGTGGAAACGGGCCACGGCTCTGAGACTCCTGTCAGCAGGGAAACATCCGCCACCACCTGCCCCTGGCCTGCTGAGCTCTTAGGGGTGTCTGAGGGGGGCTGGGTGCCTCGGATCGAGAGCTGGGAGCCCTCCAGGGTTGGGGGGAACTGAAATGCCACCTCAGTGGCCCAAAGAGGAAAAATGTTCACATCCCTGCTGTCGGCAGCCAGTGATGGGGAAACTCCAAGAAATCTCTGGAATCCCAAGAAGCCAGCTTGGTGCCCCTACAGTGGGCAACCCCAGTCTAGCTGGCACTTTCCTAAACCACAACCAGGCTAATGAAATCTGCCTTCACCAGCCTCACGCCTGGAGAGAGGATCCGCAGAGCACAGGCCACAGTCCCAGCACGCTCACCAACTCCCGGGGCTCCCCCAGCGCAGCCCCCCGGACCAGCACCCTCCACTCGGGTCCAGAGAGCTCCGCCACCCTCTGGGGCTATGACCTCCTGACAGCTCCGCTCAGCAGCTCAGTCTAGCCAATCAGACCCCAAGATCATTCCTGGCTCCCACTCTTACTAGACCTGGGTGCGCCGGGCAGCAGACCAAACTCTCACTCCTCCACTTCCCTGTCTTTAAAATAGGCATAATAACTGAGCCACTGCACTTGACCATGGGAGGACAGAATCACACAAGATAATGCAGTTAACAGGCCCAGCCACGGTGCCTGGCACGTGACCAATACAAGCTCATCAGCGGTACCCTACCCTCTAGGTGAATGTTTACCCAACCGACCGCAAGAAGTTTGGAAGCCCCAAGACAGAGCTGGAAGGTGTTACCTTCTCAGCAAATGAGCATGGACATCTTGGGGTAACTGACAGCAGACTGTTGCCCACCCGCAGGCGCTACCACTTCATCCTGCGGGAGAGCTGGCTATGAGAACCAAGAACCACTCCGGTCGTGGGGCTGTCCCCCCCGCCTCACTGGCTCGGGGCAACAGTCATGGGAACCTGACCAGAGGCCAGGGGAACCCCAGAGAACCGGGAAGAAGCTTCACTTGGCTTCTCAAATGTTCACTTAAAAATATTTCTTGAGTCAACTCAACATGGATAAAGACTTGAATGTAAGACTGGAAACCATGAAACTCCCAGCTGAAAACACAGGCTTACAGTAAGCTCCTTGACCATCAGTCTTGGCAATGGTTTTTTGGATCTGACTCCAAAAGCAAAGGCAACAAAAGCAAAAATAAACAAATGGGACTTTACCAAAGTAAAAAGCTTCTGCAGAGCAAAGTAAACCATCAACGAAATGAAAACACACGGGCGCCTGGGTGGCTCAGTCAGTTAGGCCGCTGCCTTCAGCTAAGGTCATGACCCAGGGTCCTGGGATCAAGTCCCGTATCCGGCTCCCTGCTCTGTGGGGAGCCTGTTTCTCCCTCTCCCTCTGCTCTTCCCTGCTGGTGCTCTCTCTATCAAACAAATAAAATCCTAAAAAAAAAAGAAAAAGAAGAAAGAAAGAAAAGGCAACCTACCAAATGGGAGAAAATATCTGCAAATCATGTATCTGATAAGTGGTTAATATCCCAAACATGTATAAAGAGTTCACACAGCTCAACAGTGAAAAAAAATCTGATTTTAAAATGGGCAAAGAAGGGGCACTTGGGTAGCAGTTGGGTAAGCGTCTGCCTTCGGCTCAGGTCGTGATCTCGGGCTCATGGGACTGAGTCACGCAGCAGGCGGGGAGCCTGCTTCTCCCTCTCTTCCCAGCTCATACTGTCACTTTCTCTGTCTCTCTCAAATTAATAAGTAAAGTCTTTATTAAATAAAGAAATAAATAAAAGGGACAAAGTGAGGTGCTTGGTTGGCTCAGTCGGTGGAACATCCGACTCCTGATCCCAGGTCTTGAGTTCAAACCCATGTTGGGTGTGGAACCTACTTTAAAAAAAATTTTTTTTAAACAAAACGGGCAAAGAAACTGACTAGACATTTTTCTAAAGAAGAGAGATATGACCAACAGGTACACGGAAAAACGTTTCACACCACTCATCATTGTGGAAATGAAATTAAAACCATGGTGAGCTTTCCCCTCACACCTGTTAGAACAGCTATTATCAAAATGATAAAAGAGATCTGGTGTTGGTAAGGCTGTAGAGAGGAAGGGATCCTCATGCACTGTTGCTGGGGATGCACACTGGTTTAGGCACCATGGAGAACAGCATGGAGGTTCCAAAAAAATGAAAGCCCGAACCACAACATGATCCAGCCATTCCCCTTCTGTGCATTTACCCAGAGGAAACGTAAGATGCCGCAGTGGTATTTGGAGCCTCCTGGGCGCTCATCAATGGCTGAGGGGATAAAGCTCAAAAAAGGAGGGAATCCGGTCAATCCTGACAACGCGGATGGACCCTGAGAGCATCATGCTGAGTGGAGTAAGTCGGAGACAGAAAGACAACTCTACCTGATCTCACATGCGGAATCCAAATCAGGGAGCTCAGGGAGAGAGAGCCAGCGGTTTGCTGGCTCCCTGGGGCCAGGCAGGGGGGCGGCGGGGCGAAGGTGCAAACTCCCAGCACGCGGGAAACCAGTCCCGAGGGCGTCAGGGCAGCAGGAGGCTCTAGTTAGCCGTATGGCACCAGACATGGGAAAGGTGCTGAGAAAAGTGGCAGCCAACACTTCTACCCCCGGGAAAACTCTGCAGCCCTGTCAGGTGAGAGGTTAACGGTGGGAGGGGTGAGCCTCCTGCCACACGCGTGCCAAACCACCACCCTGCACACCTAAAACTGACACCACGGTCAGCGCCAATGACATCACGATAAAGCTGGAAAAATAAAATAGTAAAAAAATTTTTCAAATATTTTCAAGTTTTAGGGGTGCCTGGGTGGCTCAGTGGGTTAAGCATCTGTCTTCGGTTCAGGTTATGATCTCAGGGTCCTGGGATCGAGCCCCGCATTGGGATCTCTGGTCAATAGGGAGCCTGCTTCCCCCTCTCTGTCTGCCTCTCTGCCTACTTGTGGTCTCTGTCAAAAAAATAAATAAAATCTTTAAAAATATATATGTATATATTTTCAAGTTTCAAAAATTCAGGCTTAAAAATAAAATAGAAATTCAAGTCTATACTAAGGGTTTTGTTTGTTTGTTTGTTTGTTTTTTAAGTCTGAGTGAAGACGCAGCCAATTTAAATAACCAAACTAGAAGCACCTGGGTGACTCAGTCAAGGTTAAACAAGTGGCCTTCAGCTCAGGTCATGATCCCGGGGCTCCCTGCTGGGTGCCACTGCCCCTGCTTCTGCTCTCCCCCCTCCTCTGATAAATAAATAAATAACAAAACTGCTGTTATCAGCCTCTTTCCTTTGTATCTGTTTTCAACTTAGTAAAGGACAGATGGTCATTTCTGCCCAGAGGCTGGTTGTCCTAGGGCTGCAAGGGGTCAGGGGGCTGGCCAGGAAGAGCAGAGCCCCTGGGTTCTAGAGCATCAGGGAAACTTGAGTCCAGCCTTTCCTAGAAACACCAGAGCCTGCCTCTGGGGGAGCCCGATTCCCCCCTCGGGCCTCACTTGGCCTGTGGAGCTGTGCCCCCCACGGTTGGCCCACAGCAATGCGGCGTGGTCTGGGAGGAAGGCAGACTCGGGGCCACAGGGCAGACGAGGAAGTGCTCACATCCGGCGGGGCACTGAGGAAGAGACTGATAAGGAGGCAGCCTTTGAGATAGTGTCTGGGGCCATCGTGGGACACTCAAGGGTCCCCAGAAACCCCACATCATCCACACCTGGCTGCCCCCAGGAGCCCCCAAGGACACCCTGGGAATAAATGCCAGGAGCTCCACACTGCACATCGTCGGACTTGAAAGCTCACTGGGACACTTGCCAATCCCCACACTCCTGGGTCACCCAGGTCCTGCATAAATAGTCTTAATTCCCCAGGCCACCTGGCCACTCAGGCAGCCCTGAGCCTCTGTCCACGGGACCTGCAGAGGCAGGGAGACCAGAGCCCGGGTCCCCACTCCCCTTGGCCCCAAACGGCTCAGGAGCTGTTGGGCAGGGCTGTCCTGAAACACCGGTCACTCCGTCGGGGACTTTCCCACCCATCTCACTTCCCTAGAGTCCTGCGCCGCTGGCCTGGGCCTCTCCAGGCAGGCAGGTGACTGAGGGGTGAGGACAGCCAGGAGAACATGTGGTCCCTTGTCCAAGCTTTTGTTTTCCCATTTTTAATGAAGATGTGGATATGAAAAGTGCTTCGCTTTCCTCTTCACTAATAAGAATGAGAAAAGTAAGCCCAGAGAAGCAGGCACAAAGCCAAGGGAGGCTTCTACACCTGCCTCTCACCTCCTGGACCTAACTGGCCACTTAGCCCGCTGCCTCAAGGGTCACCAGCCCCCAGGGCTATCAGTTGGGGAGGGCGGTCCGGCATTGCCCGTCGACACTCCAGCTGGGCTGGTGTGCTCCGATCCAGAGCTCCGCTCATCCGAGCTCGTCCTACGGACGTCGCCAAACGTGATTAAACCTGTTCCCCCTGAGCTCCATGTACCTGGCCTCACAGCAGACACCTTGAGGACAGGCCCTGTCCCCCTGTTGCTTG